GATAAAACCATTTTATAGAATTCCTATAAAATAACACTTCAAAGGCCAGAGAAGTAGTACAAGCATTAAACAGCTGTCTTGCGTGCAGCAGATGCCAATTCAATCCCCATATGATTTCCCTGAGGACCATTACAACTAGTTTCTGTCAGGTGTGACACACCCCTCTCACCCCTACCAAACAACACTGCTTTAAAAATACAAGTACCAAGTGTGGCCCTAGGGAACCCCAGCACCAATATACAGGCTAACGCCGAACTACCTAGATAGAACAACCTAGATTGAGTTTTCAAATATTATTGCTAGGTGTGGCCCCTGGATCTCCTGAGCACAGCTTGAGAGAATACTGAAAACTTTTTTTAAAATAAGGATAGGAAAAGGGCCCAGGAATGCAGTCAGTTGCAGAGCACCTTGAAGACCTGAGCTGAGACCTGCAATGCCCCACATGCCAAGTGCTATACTGCCTAGCTCTCATCACAGTGAGATATCCAACACGGTGAAACCAAGTATACGTATAAGCATAGCAAACAAGTGAACAACCCCCAGTGTGCACTTCTAAAGTGGCCATAGACAAGCACTGAAACCAAGCATGTGTGATCTCTGATTATCTCAACAACTTCTAAAGGGAGTAGGTGGGAACAGACAATCCCAGTTCAATTGCCAGCAGACAGGGTCCTTCAGCATTGCCTGGTGTGTGGCCTTGAAGGCCTCTAAGCTGAGTACGCCACCCGCTGCATACAAGGCAAATGCCCTATCCACTTTACTATCTCTCCAACCCCAAGAACAAACCTATCTTTTATTTTAGTTTGGGGGCAAAACCAAGCAGTGCTCAGGAATCAGCCCTGGCAATGCTCAGGGAACCATATAGGGTACAGGAAATCAAGCCTAGGTTGGCCACATGCAAAGCAGGTGCCTTACCCACAGTGCCACCACTCTAGCTCCCTTACCTGACTTTTAATCTCATTTGTATTTATATGACATATGGAAGTTGCTACTATGTTATAATGATAATGAAACAACTGAATTTACAAAACTTACCAGTAACACAAAAGTTATGAAAAATTAAAAAACAGTAAAATGGTACTGAAAACCTAGGCTTCCAATGAAACCAATAATTTAATTAGAGGAACATAAAAGTACTGCAGGTGGGAGTTTGCCTTGCCTACAGTTGACTTGGGTTTTATCCCTGGAACCCATAGAGTTCCCAGAGTACAGCCAGGAGTGATTCTTGAGCAAAGAGTCAGGAATAAGCCTAAGTAACATCAGGTGTGGTCCAAAATCTAAAAATAACTTAATCATACAGGGGTCCCTAAAAAAAGTACCAAGTAGACAGACAAGAGAAATAAAAATGCTCAGAATTCAGGACAGAGAGTTTAAAGCAATTGCCTCCCAAATTTCTAAACCTGGTTCAATCCCAGCACCCTGAACTCAGAGCCAGGATTAAGTCCTGAGCAATGCCAGATATGGCCCTAACAAAATCTTCCACTGGCATGACTGGGTATGTAGCTATTAATATAAGCCATACTTCATATATATTAGACCCAGGGTTCACTCTCCAATATTACAAACCCCACAGTCAAAAAGAAGGAAAAAAAAAAAACCCTGACAGAAGCAAAAGTTGATACTAATTTTAACTCATAACAAATGGATATTTTAGCCAGTGCTCATATTAGAATTAATTATAGTTAAGTATTTCTGATATTCAAGCAAACAATTATAATATTAATACTTGACTGGGCCTCCCAACCAATGTACAACTTAGCTGATATGGTATCAGAGAGAAACCACAGTTCCATAGACACACCATGAGCTCCAGTCCTTTATTCTATCTCTGCAAACCCAACAGGTCTTACTCTTGGTAGTGCACAGGGAACTATATGGGGTACCAGAGACTAAAGTAGGGCAGGCCATAGGCAAAGCTTTATCCACTGTAGTATATCTAGTCCTCTCATTCTTATTTTTTGAAATATTATTACCTGGGGCATAGAGAAGGGAGCACCAAATAAAGGGTGCTGGGAGGATCCTCCCGGGGTGGGAGACGCACGCTGAAAATAGACTATAGACCAAATATGATTGCCACTCAATGCCTCTTTTGCAAACCACAGCACCCAAAAGGAGAGAGAGAGCAAAAGGGAATGCCCTGCCACAGAGGCAGGGTGGGATGGGGAGGGATAGGAGGTGGGAGGGATACTGGGATCAGTGGTGGTGGAGAATGGGCACTGATGGAGGGATGGGTACTTGATCATTGTATAACTGAAACCCAAGCACAAAAATTTGTAAGTCTACAACTGTACGCCATGGTGTTTCACTAATAAAAATTTTAAAAAAATATATTATCTGGGGCAGAGAATATAGTGGGTGGGGTATATGCAGCTGACCTGTGTTCTATCCCTTGCATCTTATATGGTCCCCTGAGCATTACAAGGAGTGATCCCTGAACACAGGAGTAAACCCTGAGCACAACTGGGGTGGCACAAGACAAAAGGAAACAAAACATAAAGACCTTTAAGTATCTTACTTCCCAGTTTTGCAATTTTTCAGTACCTCAAAACCTTCAACAGAGCACTAAGTATCAATCACCTAGCTTTAGTTTCAAGGTAAGCTTTATGTCTTACTTCTTCCAAAGAGACAACAAGTTGGGGAACCTAATTAGATGTAAAGACTAAAGAAAATGATAGTACAACTGGTAAAGTGTCTGCCTTGCAAAGAGCAGACCCAGGTTCAATTCTCCCCAGGTCCCAAAGAGCCCCCCACACCCAGCCAGGAGTAATTGTTGAGAGCTGAAGGGTGTGCCCCAACTCCCCCCTCCAAATACTAAAGAAACATTTTAAACACTGAGTAAACAATTGCAACACTTAAAACATTTACTAGAGGCAATATCAAACTCAGAAAACAAATTCAGACTAGGAATTTTGTGCATAGGTAGAGTGTAGGTCTTCATGAATGAAGCTCTGAGTTCCGTTCCCAGTACAATGAAATAAAAACAATCTTTAAGAGCAAAGTAACAAGATCATACTCTAACAACAGATCTTACCAAACTGTAAAATGCCCAATGTAGAAACATGCTGACACTGTGTGATTCTCTAAAGTCTTTCAGATCCTTCCCTTAACTCTATTGCCATGATGATAGCACTACTTCAATAATCTTTCATCTAGATTGGCACTTCTCAACCAGGAGCCAATCAACAATGAATCCCCACAGTATTCCAAGTGGGCTTCAGGTAAAATCGAAAAACAGGGAATGGGAAATGATAGCACCAAGACTACCAAGGGGATCAACCAGTAGGAAGGGGGCCCACAAAGTCGGTACAGGGCCACAAGCTGAAATAAGTTAAGGGCCAGAATGCTAGTACAGTGGGTAGAGTTCTTGCCTTGCACACAGCCATCTCAGATTTGATACCCAGCATCCCTTATGGTCCTCAGAGCATTGCCAGGAGTAAGGCTGAGGAATGCCAAGTGTGGCCCAAACCCCCCAAAAGGGGAGTTGGTTGAGAATCACTGTATTTGATCCCTTAGGAATAATACCTGTTAAGGTTCTGACTAAAAACTACATCCATGTTGGGGTCTGAGCAATAGTACAGCAAGTAGGGCATTTGTCATGCACACACACCTGGGTTTGATTCCCCCAGCACTGCAAGGAGTAACTCTTGATACAGAACCAGGAGTAACCCCTAAGCATTGCTGACTATGACCAAAATACAAAAACAACTAAATCCATGCCATGGAAGCAATCTTGACCTTAAGACCACCAAGCTTAAACCAAGTAAGCTCTATCCCCACCCCTTTTTTGTTTTTGCACTATACCCAGACATGCTTGGGGGACCAAGTGGTGTCTGAGATTAAGGGCTGCCCTGTGGCATGCAAAATATGCATTCTAGTGCTTTGAGCTATCTTCCTGGGCCCAAACTAACACTTCTAAAAGAGATATCTTTTAAAGAGTTGTCATTAGGACCTGTGAGATATGACGGTACAGCAAGTAGAGCACTTGTGTTTCATGTGGCTGATCCAGGTTTGATCCCCAGCACCCCTATATGGTCCCTGAGCTTGCCAGAAGTAACCCCTATGCACAGAACCAAAAGTGAGCCTTGAGCACAGCTGGGTGTGGCCCCAAAGCCAAAATATAAACAGAGTTGTCATTTAGTCAAGCAGAATCTTTTAAAAGTTCTTCTGTCAGTTTAACTATGATACATACTTATTTGAATTTCTGAATATTAAATATATCTTTGGTGCTTAAATGAATCTCCTCAAAAGTTTATCAAAGAAAGAAAACTGGGAACTGGAGATATAGGACAGCAGGTAGGGAATCTGAGAACCAGAGTTCAATCCCTGGCAGCACAAAGGATCCCCCAAGCTCCACCAGGAGCCCTGAAAACTGCTGGGTGTGGCCCAAAAGCTAAACAAAAAGAAAAACGAGAAACTTGGGTGAGAGGACAAGGGTGCCTGTCCTCTCTAGGGGTGACCCACAGTTCCATCGCAGCAAGGCATTAAGTTTTCCCAGGGCCACCAAGCCTGCCATGAGAGCACAGATACAAACAAAACAATGAAACAGGGAGCTTCCTAGGCAAATTATCATTCAAAGCCGTGAGCCACTGTTAACTAGCATTCCTTTATCCCTAGAAAAACCAAACCAAACCAAACCTTAAACCTGTTAACAGAATAAAGGCACCCCCAGACATCTGAAACCCATCAAGGGCCGACACACTTTTCATTTCTCCTCATAGTGAAGAACCTGACTCCAAACCAAGCACTTTTTAGGGGGGTGGGGCGGTGTGAAAGTGAGAACAAAGGTGGGGGGCATGGGTTCGGGGCCACAGAGCACTTACTCGCCTTGCATTCATGCTGCCTAGCTGGCAAGAGCAATAAAATCAGATTTTTTCTCTCTCCCCCCTCCCCCAAATAAAACTATCTTCACAACCACCACCCGACCTAGGCTGGAAACTAGGCTCCAAGGCCCGGGAGGGAGCGACAGGACACGGGCGACTCTGGCCGCGGCGCGGCTTTACCTTCAGCCGCTTGATCATCTCATCCGTGGTGATCTTGTCGGTGATCTCCTTCACCCCGGGAGGGTAGGCGATCTTGCCGTCGGCGCTCACGACGCCGCAGAGGGCAGTGGCAGGCTTGGGCTGCGCGGTGAAGTCCATCCTGGGGGACAACTTTTCTTCCACGGTCCTCTACCGGCCTCTATCGGTCAGAAAACAAAAGTTCAGCGGCCAAGGGGCGACTTTGTAACCTCTTTTTCCATTTTCAAAAAAAAAAAAAACACCTCGAGTTGGTCAGGGGCCCTGGGCTCGGGCGAGGTCCGGGGTGGCCAGGGGAGGGAAGGAGGAGGGCGGGGCGGGCAGCGGGGAGGCTGCCCCCCACCCCGGGCGCGGGTCCCGAATCGTCCCCCCACCCCCACCCGCACCCGCACCCCCTGCCCGCCCGAGCAGCGCCCGGAGTTGCCCCGTCGGCCGCTCACAATGAGATCTCGCTCCCCGGGGGCCCGGGCCCCAAGTTGGGTGGGCTCGGCCCCCCGCGGGAGGCGTCCCCCGCCGCCCTCCCTCCCGGCCCGTGCCCCTCCGGGGCAGGCAGGCAGGCAGGCAGCCGCGAGGCCTAGAGGAGGGCTCGGCTTTAGGCCGCACAACTCGGGACCCCGCCGGGACCCGCCGCGCCGCGCCGCGCCAACCCCCGGCAGCCCCCCGCCGCCCGCGCCGGGGGCTCGAGCGCCCGCACGTCGCGCCCCCCGCGGCCCCGGCCCGCGCGCGCGCCGGCCCCCACGGGCCGCCCCGCAGCCCCGCGCCCGCGGCAGGAAGCGGCTGACGCGGCTCCGCACTTCACATTTTGTTCCTTCAACTTCGCTCCAAGGGGGGGACCCCGGCGGCCTCCCCGCGGCCCTGGGCGGCCCCCGCGCGCGGCCTGCCCGGCACCCCCCGGCCGGCCGGCCAGCCAGCCGGCCCCGCCGGGCCTCGGGCCCGCGCCCCCCCCGCCCCGCTCCGGCGCCCCTTCCGTCCCTCCCGCCGCCGCCGCCGCCGCCTTTACCTCCTCCTCATGCGGGCGGAAGGGGCGCCGGCCGCCGGGCTTCTGTCAGGTGGTTGCGCCGCCGCTGCCGCCGCCGCCGCCGCCGCCCTCGCGGGCTGCCACACAAAGCGGCTCCGCGGGTCCCGCCGCCGCCGCCGCCGCCGCCCGCCCCGGAGCGCCTGGGGCCGGCGGAGCCGAGGAGGAGCAGTCGCGCCTCGGGGGGAGACGCGGGGCGAGCGCGCCGGGCGGGGAGACACTGCCGCTCTCCGTCCGGCCGCGGAAGAGCAGCCTCCTCGGCGCCGCCGCCGCCGCCGCCGCCGCCGCCGCTCCGGGCGCGGGAGCGCGTGTGTGCGCCCGGAACCACCCCCACCGCGGCCCGCCCGCCCGCCGCCCGCGCCGCCGCCGCCGCCGCCGCCGCCGCCGCCGCCGCCGCCCGCGCCCCGCGCAGGCCGGCCCCGCCGAGCCGGCCCCGGGTCGCCCCCTCAGAGCGGCGCGCGCGCGCCCGGCCGTCCGTGCCCCTCGGGAGCCGGCGCCTCGCGCACACCGCGGCCGGTCACGCGAGCCGAGCGAGAGCACGCGAGAGCAGGGAGCGCGCCGAGCGCCCTCCCCTTCCTTCGCCCGCCGAGCCTCCGCCTCCCTCGGGCCCCACAGCGCCGCCACCCGGTTGGCGCCAAGAGCTGCGGCGCGCGACGCCTCCGGGAGGACTCGACCCAAAAAAGGCCGGAGGAGGAGGAGGAGGAGGAGGTGGAGGAGGAGCTTGGTGGACGAGGAGGGGGAGGAGGAGCCGGCGTGGCGGGAAGCGTGGCGGGGGTCCCTGGGAAGGCTCGCAAGTGCCGAGGCCGCCCGGTGACTTCGGGAGGCTCTGCATCCCGCGGGGACGTGGACGGCACTGGCTGAAAGATGGTTCATTGGTGACCATTTCTCTGATTTCCTCTCCGGGGACTGGAGATCCTGCAGACGGAGGGAAAGTTTTGGAGCGTGGCACAACGTGGGCTGCTCCGCGTCCTGTAACTCAGCCGCTGGAGTTTGTTTGCCCCCCCTCCTTTTAGATCTCGAAAATTAATATTCTCAAAGCTGGAAAATATGCAGATCGCTTTGGACGCTCAGAGTTCCCCAAGTATGGGCTGAAACCTAGGTTTGGAGGGGAGTGGGTTCTACTTCCAAATCTGCAGTCTTGGGGGCGGGGGTCTCAGGTTGAGACCCAGAAGGAAACGTTTTTTACAGAATTAGGCAAATGGTTCCTGTGGAAATGAAAAATGCAATTTTAAAAAACGTTTTAAAGAGAACCCACCTGCCCCTCAAAAAAACGATCTTTTCATCGGAAGAAGAACCCCATATAAAGACATAGGAGCAAATTTAATGTAAGCAATAGAAGAAAATGATTCTCAAGATTCAAACCTACGTAATTTCAGAAGACAAAGTTGGAGGAAAGAATAGGATAATAGGAAATAGCATTCAGCTCCTGACACTGATCTCTTCCATAGTTTAAAATACCTGAATTTTGGGGGTAAATTTTAAAATATTTCTTGATATTCATTCTTTATCCTTATTCTCAAAAATATAAAGATACTGCATTCCTGGAATTATTTTTAAAATATTATGCAAGGGAATGATGGTCTTCTAATCTAACAAACCCTAGTTGCTAAGTTGCTAGAATTTGGGCCCAAATCAGTGCTTTGTTATTGAACATTAAAAGTAGAAGACAAAAATCCATTTAACATTGTCTTCCAAACTATAAAATTGACCAAATCTCTCTCTCCCTCTTTCTCTCCCTCTTTCTCCCTCCTCTCTCTGTCTCTGTCTCTATGTCTCTCTCTCTCTCTCTCTCTCTCTCTCGTTTTTGGACTGCACCCAGCAGTGCTCCGAGACTACACCTGACTTGGTGTTCAAGGGTAGTGCCAGGGATTCCCGAGGTCGTTCCTGGGAGTGCCAGGGATCCAAGACAGGCCCCCGGCATTCCAAGCATGTGCCCCAGCCCATTGAGCTATCTCCCCAGCCCTGGAACTGAATTGTTAATCCAACTTTAATTACTTGAGTTAAGATGAAAAATCTAAACAGATACAGGAAGTTATTGGCTCCTGCATTGCAGAGTGCAGTACTGGAGTCCACAATTTGTAGTAGTTTGCAGAAAAAGAAGTTAGAAGAGAAATTGTGTTCCTGCTAAAAGGTCTGGCTGTGGAATCATTTTTAAAATATGCATTGGGGGCTGGAGAGCTATTACAGTGGGTAGGGTACTTGCCTTGCACACAGTTGACCCAGGTTCTATCCCCAGCACGCTATATTATCCCTTGAGCCCTGTCAGGAGTAATCCCTGAGCACTGAGCACTGTACTAGTAAGCCCCTAGTATACCTGGTGTAGCCCCCAAACCAAACACATTGTGCTGGAGAGAGAAAACAGGAGTTAAGGTGTGCTCTGCTTATTGCCAACCTCCATTAAGAGCCCTAGATACACTAGCACCAGCAGGAACGACCCCCAAGCCCAGAGCCTGGAAGAACCCCAACCACTGCTGCTGCTGACCCTGGTTTGATTCCTGCCACCTCTGATCTCTTGAACACTGCCTGAGGCAACCTCTAAACACAGGAGTAGCTCCTGAGTGCTGCTGGGCATGGGCCAAACTGTCACTCCCGAAGTATATGTATATTGGACAGGTTGCTCAGCTAGAGTGCCTGCCTGCCTTGCTTCTGTGAATCCGCCGGTTTGAGCACAGGCACCTCCAACGTTGCTGAGTGGGAACCGTGCTCCTGTGGTGTATGAACACCACTAACATGTATGCAAGCCCTGGGTCCCCCAGGAAAGGAAGGGAGGGGAAGAAAAAGTAATAATAGAGAGCTAGAACAATAGTACAGTGAATAGGGCACTTACAGGCAGCTGACCCAAGTTTGATCTCTGGCATGCCATATATTCCCCAGAGCCCACGAGAAGTGATCCCTGAGCTCAGAGGCCCAAGCACAGCTAGATGTGGCAAAAAATTAATACAAGAGGCTGAAATGATAGTATAGTGGATGGGGTGTTTGCCATGCACTGGACCAGGGATCAGGGCAGAACCACAGTTCAATCCGCAGCATCTCATGTGGTTCCCTGAGCACTGCCAGGAGTAACTCATGAGTGCAGAGCCAGGAGTAACCCCTGAGCATGGCCTGGGGTGGGGGTGTGCAGGCCCAAGGGGAGCCCCAACCCAAAATAAAACCAAAGTAACAATAGAGTCAAATAAAACATAGATGTTTATTTGTTATTTTGATTTCAGTCACATCAGCAGAGCTTAAGAACTACTCCTGGCTCTGTGCTCAGAGCTTGCTCCTGACAGTGTTCAGGAGACCATCCAGTGCCAGGGATTGAACCTGGGGCTTTATGAATGAGAAGCATCTACACCAACCCATGGAGCTATTGCTCTGGCCCAAGTCTTAAGATGTTTAAAAAAATTTTGTTTCATTATTGTTTTTTCTGTCTTTTGTTGTTGTTGTTTATTTACCAGTGAGATTACAAAGTTATTCATGAAAGCTTTATAGCATACAAAGTTTCAACACCTTATCCCGGCCAGTATCCACTTCCAACCACCAATGCCCCTCCCCTGCCATTTGCCGCCCACCCACCAGTTCAGCTTCTAAGAGAAGCACTTTTTGTTTGTTTCACTTTTTTGGTTTTTTGTTTGGGGGCCACACCTAGTGGTGCTCAGGGGTTATTCCTGGTTCTGCACTCAGGAATCACTCCTGGCAGGCTCAGGGGATCATATGGGATGCCAGGAGTTGAACCCCAGACCTGCATGGCCAATGCTCTACCCATAGCATTATCTCTCCCGCCCAAGGCACTTTTTTTTTTTCAGTAAGTTTTTCTCTGTGGTTCAGTTGCTGATAGGGTTTCATGCACGATGCTTTACCACCTTTCAGTACCTCCTCTTCTTTCTTGCTGAACGTTTCGCTCCACTAGTCATTGCTCCCTCCCTGTCCTATCCCCCAGCCCTCTCAAGTGACATATTTCCAAGAAAGAAAGAGAGAGAGGGGGAGGGAGGGAGGGAGGGAGGGAGGGTGGGAAGGAGGGAAAGGAAGGAAGGAAGGAAGGAAGGAAGGAAGGAAGGAAGGAAGGAAGGAAGGAGAGAGAAAGAAAGAAAGAAAGAGAGAGAGAGAAAGAAAGAAAGAAAGAAAGAAAGAAAGAAAGAAAGAAAGAAGGAAAGAAAGAAGGAAGGAAAGAAAGAAAGAAAGAAAGAAAGAAAGAAAGAAGAGGAAGGAAGGAAGGAAGGAAGGAAGGAAGGAAGGGAGAAGAAAAGAAAGAAAGGAAAGAAAGAAAGAAAGAAAGAAGAAGAGGAGGAAGGAAGGAAGGAGAAAAGAAAGAAAGGAAAGAGAAAGAAAGAAAGAAAGAAAGAAAGAAAGAAAGAAAGAAAGGTAACTATATCGTTAACTCTAGACTGAATCATTTTGAAGGTATGGTGGGGTCCCTCCTCAGTAATCATGGGGGAATCACCAGGGCTGTATCCTGTGTTGCTCAAGAGACCATACAGTGATGGGGATGAAGCCCAGGGCCTGTGCATGCCAGGTGGGCTCTCCAACCTTTGGTCTACCTCACCAGACGTGCAAATTATTCTGTAATGGGATAAAATTAATATACAGCAGCATATTAATTTCAGGTGAACAATAATTCACTACTTGATGTATTGCAGAATGATCACAACAGGTCTAGATAATATCTATTACCACACTTAGTTACAAATTTTGTACTCTTTCTTCTCAATTCTTTCCCCCTTTCTTTCTTTTTAATGGAATCACCTTGAGATGCACAGTTACAAAGTTGTTCATGATTGGGTTTCAGCTTGATAATGTTCCCACACCCTTCCCTTCCCTAGTGTATGCTTCCCTCCACCAGTGTCCCCAGTTTTCCTCCTGCTCTCCCCAACCCCAGCGTGGGTCTGTGGCAGACACTTCTCTCTCTCCCTCTCTTTTTCCTTTTTAGGTTCTGTGGTTGCAGTACTGGTACTGAGATGTTATCACGTGTATCACTTTACCTCCTTTCAGTACTCAGATCTTGTCCTGAGTGATCATTTCCAATTATCGTTGCGGTAGGAGTTCTTTATTTTCCTCTGTAGAGAGTAGGCAGTGCTCACAGGGATCCTTCATTACTGGAGCTTGAACCCAGAGCTCCCCGATGCAGCCCTGACTTCAGGCCCTTTGAGCCATTTCTCCAACTCCTAATTTTGTACTCTTTCTTTTTTTTTCTTCTTCATTTTTATCCCCTGCGCCACATGCTCCGATGCTTAGTGATTACTTCTTGCTCTGCACTTTGGAATCACTCCTGGTGGTGCTCGGGGGCCCATATAGGATGCTGGAGATTGAACCAG